TATGGTCGATCCAATTCATACTCCTTCGTGTTTAATGGAAAGAAGATTCACCTTAATCCACTGCCCCCAAAGCCTGTTGGCCCACTGGAAACGAAGAAGAGTGTGGAACGAAAGGGATTGCATATTATTAGTCCTATAGAGTTTGAGTGAACACTTGTTAGTGACTCAATTGTGTTCGCTTTGGTAGTCATGGAGGTTTCATCTCACTCCACAATAGAGAGCCCTACTAAAGTCCAGTCGATCCTTTTAGAGTTTCGAGATGTCTTTCCGGAGGACCTACCTGATCATCTACCTCCTCTACGGGATATTCAACATGCCATAGTTTTTGTCCCAGGGGCATCCCTTCCAAATTTGCCTCATTATCGAATGAATCCTACAGAGCACGGTGAACTTCAAAGGCAAGTGGACGACCTCCTTCACAAAGGATTCATTCGTGAGAGTTTAAGCCCGTGTGTTGTCCCAGCCCTATTGACGCCCAAAAAGGATGGTTCTTGGAGGATGTGTGTGGATAGTCGCGAGAACAATAGGATCACAGTGAAGTATCGTTTTCCCGTTCCTAGACTTGATGATATGCTAGATATGATGGTTGGTGCTATAATCGTTTCGAAGATTGATCTGAAGAGTGGATACCATCAGATTCGAACTCGCCCAGGTGATGAGTGGAAGACCGCGTTTAAAATGAAAGATGGTCTTTATGAATGGCTGGTCATGCCTTTTAGGCTAAGTAATGCGCCAAGTACTTTTATACGGGTAATGACACAAACTCTTCGACCTTTCATGGGTAAGTTTCTTGTTGTCTACTTTGATGATATCCTAATTTATAGCAAGACTAAGGAGCAACATCGTGACCACCTCACACAAGTTTGCTCTACCCTTCGTGCAACCAATCTGTATGCTAACGTCAATAAGTGCTCTTTCTTCATCGATACAGTCATTTTTTGGGGGTTCATCGTCTCTTCGACAGGGGTTTCTACTGACTCTGCTAAGGTTCAGGTAATTATTAACTGGTCTGAGCCTAAAACTATTCATGACGTCAGGAGCTTTCATGGCTTAGCTACATTTTACCGTCGCTTTATCAAAGGGTTTAGCACTATTATAGACCCTATTACGGAGTGCCTGAAAAAAGGGAAATTTCATTGGACACAAGAAGTAGCTAAGCCCTTTAAGTTGGTCAAGAAACGAATCACGGAAGCTCCTGTCATGCGTCTTCCCGACTTTTCCAAAGTCTTTGAAGTTGAATGTGATGCCTCCGGGGTAGGTATAGGCGGAGTCTTGAGTCAGGATCGTCACCCTATTGCCTACTTCAGTGAGAAGTTAAATAAAACCAAACAACGGTACTTGACTTATGATAAGGAACTGTATGCTGTGGTCCAGGCTTTGCGCTATTGGTGCCACTATTTGTTGCCCCAGGAATTTGTCCTTTATTCGAACCATGAAACCCTCTGTTACCTCAACTCCCAGAAAAGATTAAGTTCTAGGCATGGTCGTTGGATTGAATATTTACAGGCCTATTCATTTGTTTTAAAACACAAGAAGGGAGTGGAAAATCAAGTAGCTGATGCATTAAGTCGTCGTGTCTCCCTTTTGTCGATCATGAGTGTCAAGGTCATTGGTTTTGAAAGGGTCAAGGAGGATTACGAGGCATGTATCGATTTTAAGGATATCTTTCTCGATTTGCAAAGGGGACAATCAAACACCATAGATGGCTTCCGACTTAAGGAGGGTTATCTCTTTCGAGCCAATAAATTGTGCATCCCTCGAACTTCAGTGTGAAATTTCATAGTGTGGGAAATTCATGCGGGAGGGTTAGCCGGTCACTTTAGACATGATAAGACCATAGATGAAGTTGAACGCCAATTCTATTGGCCTAGCTTGAAGAAAGATGTGGCTAAGATTGTTAGTACATGTAACACTTGTCAATTGAGTAAACATAAGAGGCAAAACACAGGCCTATACACCCCTCTTTCCGTCCCCAATTGTCCTTGACAAGATGTTAGTATGGATTTTGTATTAGGCTTTCCACGCACCCCAAAGAAACATGATTCTATTTTGTGGTTGTTGACCTTTTTTCGAAAATGGCTCATTTTATCCCATCTAGCAAGACCTCAAATGCGTCTAAGGTGGCCATGTTGTTCTTTAATGAGATTGTTAAATTGTATGGGCTTCCTACGACCATTGTGTCCGATAGGGATGTTCGTTTTGCTAGCCATTTTTGGAGGACTTTGTGGCAAAAGATGGGTACCAAATTAAAATTTTCTACGGCCTACCACCCTCAGACTGACGGTCAAACTGAAGTAGTTAATCGAAGTCTTGGTAACCTATCACATTGTTTGGTTCGGGAAAATTTTCGAAATTGGGATTTGATCCTTCCTGTAGCTCAAATTGCATATAATAGCTCCATAAATCGTTCATTAGGTATGAGTCCATTTGAAGCCGTTCATGGGCACAAGCCTAGGAAACCGTTAGATCTCATCCCTATATCAGTGTCAGCCGAAGCATTTGCACATCTTTGTGATTTGCATATTGAGATTAATAAACAACTTGAAGCTAGTAATGTAAAATAAAACTCCAAGCTGATTTGCATAAACGACATATTGAGTTTCACGTTGGGGATTACGTTATGGTCCGCATTAGGCCAGAGCGGCGTCTACATGGACCCGTCTCCAGATTGCAAGCTTGTAGTGTTGGTCCTTTTAAAATTTTAAAGCAAGTTGGTCCAAATGCATATGTTGTTAACATTTCACTACATCTTGGCTACCACTCTACTTTCAATGTTGAGGACCTAGTAGCTTATAAAGGTCATTTCATTCCCTCAGATGATCCTTTGTTACCTCCTTTTGTGGACCTTGATCCCGACTATTTGGCCACTTCTAACCCACTACCACCTTTCACAGCACATACAGATAAAATTGATACTATTTTAGATCAAGAAAATGTGTTTACTAATGATGAAGATGTTCAACGCTTCCTCGTTCGTTGGGTTGGTTGACCAGATTCTGATTGTACATAGATCTCCAGAGAGAGACTACAGCAATTGGATCCAGATTTATTGGAGTTTTATTGGAGTCAACATGATCTTTCTTGGCCTAAATCGCCTCCCGTTTACCCAAGGGGAGTTGGTGAAGACATCAGGTTCAGGCCTCCCCTGACACATTTCTACAGAAGCCGGAAAAAGCTTGTCCAATCGCTTAGCTTATGGTTGGGAGATTAACGACAGCCTACAGTGATATATCCACTCGACAGGGTCGAGTTTTCTTCCATTCTGAGAGAGTTGATGAGGACATCGGACATTTATTTTTTTATTTTCTAGTTAAGTTTTATTTATTTTTTTGGACTATTATTTAGAAACTTGGACTTGTATGGCCTCGGGCCCAATCTCGTTAGGGTTTGCTTTACTATTTAAATATACTTTGCTTTGTAATTTTTTAGTTGATAAATGAATAATTATTTTGGTGGCTTATAATGCATCCCTCTCCTTATCTCCGCCCCTTAATTCCCTATTCTTTCTAAATCTGTCGTCTTTTTCTATTAATCGTCTTATTGGTGCCGCATCAATTTTAGTCTTACCAAGTTATTAAAAGTTGTTAGACGTGGACAGTTCTTCTTGTTTTAGGTTGTTTGTAAGGTTAGAGTTGTGCATGGATTGGGTTTGGTTGATTTTTTCTCAACCCAAATTCAATCCAACATGGTCGGTTTAATTTAAAATCAAACAAACCCAACCCATTTAGCCCCTGTTTGAGCTCCATTACATTAAATTTTATTACATTTCATTTCTCTCTCTCCTATTTTCAACCACACACTTTCCATAAAATAATATTACACGTAAATAAAAAACTTTTCATTCTTTTTAAACCATTTATTTTTCAAAAAAATACTATTCCCCTCATTAATTTTTTCACGTAATGGGGATCAAACATGGGCTTAATGATTTATACCTAACTCAACCCAAACCAATCAAGTTTGGGTCGGATCGGGTTGATTTGGTCGATTTGGGATTCGGCCCAATTTAAAGTTGAATCCGATTTTTTTTTTTAAATTTTGAATTTTGATAAATTTTAAAAATTTGAAATTACTTAAAAATCTCTGTTTTTTTAATAACTATATAAGGATTTTTTTTTTTGAAAAATAATATATAAATAAATTAAAAATTTATGAAGCATTTTTTTTTACTATTTTTTTGTAATTTATTCATTTCATCATCATGTTCTTAATTTTTTACTTTATTGTCAAATAGCATTTCATTTATACAAAAAAAGTGTTCATGTGAATTAATCTATATAAATAAAATGAACGTTTATAAATTATAAGTCCTCATATTGTGTTTATTTTTATTTTTATTTTTATTTTTTTTATCATCTTAGATATTAATTTTTTTAACTCATCGAGGGTTGAATTTTAAATCATAACCCGATACCCAATCGAATCCAACTCAATCCCAAATTTAATTTTTCAATCCAGTCCAGCCTAATTGAACTTAATCTACCCAAATTGATCGATTTTGATTTTGGTTCATCGGGTTAAGCGATTGGGGTTGGGTTTTGCCCAACCCATGTAAGGCTATATAATAGCCTATTTTGTTATTCAATCAATTAAGTGATTTCTCCCAAATTTTATGCATCTTCTCCCAAGTATTTCTAATTCAAACAATTTGAATTTCTCTTTGTAAATCTTAAATATACGTTTTAGTACAATTAGATTTTTCGAATGAAAATTTAATTTTTTACTTTTTATATAATGGCAAAATTTTTATTCAGATAATTTTATTTATATAATCACATGAACACAATCGATAATAATATTTATTTTTTTTTACTTTATCCGTGAGAGAATTTCTATTGGTAAATTATATTTATGAAATTGAGTCTATAGATCACGATGAAAAATGCACTATTCCTCCTCAACCACAAATCCAGCGGATTTTTCTCAACAATAGAATGGTTTTCCCATTGGCAGTTCCTTTTCATATAACTAACAAAGACCAGTTCATTAGAAAATAAAAAATAAAAAAATTACAAAGGAAAATGGCAAATTTCAGAGCATTATCCAAATGCATTCCCAATGAAAAAACATTCTTCAAAAGTGCATGGATTTTTAGGTGGTTCGTCTCTGCCACAAGGCCATCTCACAATGCTGTGAGTTTGTTTCTTTTACTGTGTTTTTTTCGATTTTTTTGGAAAATACGTATATGCATACTGTCCAAATAAACACATAATAATAAAGTTTTTTTTTCTTGATTTATTTATGAATATTGATGTTCAAAAGGCGAAGATTGATAAAGAGACATGTGGAAAAGTGATTGAAGCTGCAGAATCAGTGAAAGATGGTACACAAGAAGTGGTTCAAGAAGTGAAACGTGTTGGTAAAGTTGTGACTGATAAAATCGCTAAGACTGCTGGAACTGTACGTAATTCTCTAAAAACATAACTCCTGTTCGGTGCTGATTTTTCAAGCCGTTGACCTTTGTACTCACGGATGGAATCCACCTTTCAAGCTAATGATCGATCAAAAAATTTCTTTGCAAAATCAGCACCGAATAGGCGAATAATCTTTCTATTCTTAATTATTTACACTTTATTTTTATTTTTTTGAAATTGATCTCATGCCTTTAGTGAATGGGATAAAAATTTCGTGACTAGATAACTTTACGCATAGTTTAAAGTTCTCTTATCACATCAGTAGTGAAGTTTTTATTCTTTCTACTGTGAATATTTTGTCTCGGTAAATAATCACTTATGGTAAATTCTAAATTATATTTCAATAAATTTTTGGTCAGGTGATTGCCAATGCAGCTAACAAGGGACTTGAGAAAGCTGCAGAGACAGCTGATACTAAAAAGGGGAAAGATGTTTGGGACACTGCTAAAGTTGCCACTGAAGTTTTCAAGGACAAACTGGACGATAAAAAAGAGTAGTGTAGTGTAGGGTGAAATTTTTTAACTAATCTTTCGAGCGAGTTTTTGTTTTTACTTTCGATTTAATTATTGAATCATTGACCTTGATCGAGTAACAATGAACTCAATCAATTGAGACGAAGCGAATTGTTTAAAGTGATTTTTATGCTTTGCTTTATGAATTTATTTAATATTTAGTAACTTAAATAAGTTGTTTTGGTTATGCTCAAAATAGCTCCAAGTTTACATCTTTTTTAGTTATAAGCGAGGCCAAACATGCTTGATCAACATGTTTGGCTAAGCTTAAAATATTTAATTATAGGTAAAATAAATAATTTTTGACTGATTAATGTTAATATATTAATCAATCACGTGGGTCGTTGCCCAAAAATGAGGCTTGGCTCTTAGGTTTTTAAGAGTTGTGCACGAACCTTTCGAGTCGACGAGTCGAATTGATATCCTTACTTATAAGTCAATCATGCTGCACAAATTTAACAAACAATTTTCTCTATCATGTCATATGATTATCTACGTGAGGATATTGGAATATATAATAGAGAAGATCGAAGAATCATGAACACTTTACATATTTCTTATGTACTATAATTACTAGATTGCCACATGATGGAGAATATAGAAAGTGAAAAAAAGTTAGCAGGAGAAGGGAAATCAATATTGAAGTTAGATTCACATTTGTACAAACTCAAAATTTAGCAAAACTCTATTTTGAATAAGAATAAATAACAGGTTTAAGGGTCCATGATATAATTTTTGAAAAGTCGAAAACTATTTTTGATATAAAAAGGTTTTTTTTTTGAATAATGCTATTTGTAGTGAAAACTACCGACAGTCGCCCTATGTGGCGTATACTTGGCAGTTTTTTATTTGATGTATAATTCAAAAAATAACTACCATATCTATGTATCAAATACCAAATTGTCAAGTGTATGCCACATAGGACGACTACTGACAGTTTTAACTGCAAATAACATTACTTTTTTTTTTAGGATATGTTTGGATAATTTTTTAAAAATAATTTGGACCCATTTAACAGAACTCCTGCTTTTACTTCTTATAAAAAAAAAAGGTACTTAAGCTAAGTAAACTACCTAATTAGTATATAAAGATTAATTTTAAAAGAGTTTTCTTTTCCAAAAGAACTTTTAAAGAAATACTTTTGACGACCTTTATCTAGAAATTCTTTTAATTAGGAGAAATTTTTTTATAAAATTAACCAAAAATTAACTTCAGCATCTCAAAAATTCATTTTAACTTTTTAAAAAGTAATGTTAAGTGAGCCCTTTATTGGCTAGAAGAATTTTTTTAAAAGTTAATCTCAAATAGCTTTCTCAATTAGTTAAAATTTATCTCCGTACCGTGATTTTGACATTTGCTTTATACAGAATAAAGCCACAGGGGCGGCCAAAAGACAGGCCAAAATATATGGGCTCCATGTCCCCTCCAATAGGGTGCTCATGTTTTTAAGCCCCTCTTTAATCCCCATTAAATTACATTTTATTACATTTTATTTTTCTCTCTCCTATTTTCAATCACACAATATTTTATAAAATAATATTACAAGTAAATCGAAAATTTTTCCTTCTTTTTTAACCACTCATTTTTTCAATAAAATACTATTCCTTCCATTTTTATTACCAAAAAGGGGGCCAAACGGGGGCTAAGCCTGTCTTTTGCCAGTTCAAAAAGCAGGCTTTTTTTTGATATCCAGATATCCTAACTTATACTAGACTAAATCCTGAACTCCCAAAACCTTTGCCCCTAGAAATAGAATATGAGGAGGTCCATTTGATTGTAAAGATGAAATTTGGGTGGAAAGAAAACAAATTTCAGATAATTAAATTGTCTAGAAATTATTTTCCTGTTTGAATGCTATAATTTTTCACGTGAAAAATATTGAAATAAAAATGGAATTTTGTGTCCGTTAGACTTTATTTTACATGAAAATTGTCAATTTTAGGGATGAAATTTATTGGTATTGAGGATGAAATTTGTTTCCATTGCCCAAAAAAAAAAAAAAAAAAATTCAAACAAATCATCTATCTTTTGATGTTCGCTTGTCTTTGAAATATTTTTACAATAATTCTTAGAATCTATTTTCACTACAAAAAAAGTCAACTACAAAAACTAGAAAATTACAACTCCCAAGAAATTCAAGAATTTAATTTTCATTGAAAGTATAACACTATCAAACACACAAAAGTTGAAAATAGGCATTCTAATTCCATTTTTCCTAAAAAATTGGTGTCTATCAAACGGTGCCTAATTTTTATTTGAAAATTAATTTCTAAAAAACTTTTAATTTTGAAAATATTTTTAAAGGAAGTCGCGCTAGACAAATTTTCTTTAAAAACTCTTCTAAATTCTAACTTCTCTTCATCTAAATCTAAATTCAATCATGCTATATAGACATAATGATTGATATAATATCACGTGACATTGAATTATTTAAAAAAGGATGCTAGAAATACATATGAGCTTTCATAATGGTGTTCATAATGTACACATAGAGGTCCCCTATTGGAGACCATGGAGGCCTCAATATACAAGAAGATTAATCCTTTTTTTAAAGTATGGTCATTTTTTTTTATGTCACATATTCTCCGGGAAAGTAGCATTATTCATAAGCAAAACCCCAAGAATCTAAAACCTTTTCGTTCCGTTATTTTCTCCACTCCCCTAATTTCTTGGCAAATCGGATTCAGAAAAAGAAGAAAAGCGGCGGAAATGGCAGCGACGGGGAGGGCGGCGGCGGCGCTATTACAGCCGGTGACATTTGTAACGGGTAACGCCAAGAAACTTGAAGAAGTCCGTGCCATACTAGGCAACTCCATCCCCTTCCGTTCCCTCAAGCTCGATCGTACGTTATTACATATCTCTGTTTATGTATGCCTGTGTTTGTATGTTCGGATATGAACACGCTTTCATTAATTTAATAGTAAATGAACAGTGCCGGAACTACAAGGAGAGCCTGAAGACATTTCCAAAGAGAAGGCTCGAATAGCTGCTAAAGAGGTAATTGACGTTCATATGACTACTCAATTATAGACGTGCACACAGTATGTATGTAATTATGATTGTTTACAATGCCAGCGTATGGTACAAATTCTTGAAGCATGGAGTAATTTTTTTTTTTTTTTTTTTTTGTATAAAAATAGGAAAAATTACAACTGCAGTACCAAACCTTAAATTTTTATGCAGACTTGATCCAAACTTTTAATGTGTAAGGATCCACGATACCAAACATTTCAAAAATTAGCACCTGAAGTCCAATTTAACAAATTCTGTTAGATCATTCATTAGCTGACAAAAAGTCAATTATTTGACCAAATATTGACTAATTTCAAAAGGTTAAAATGGTAAATTTATATTTTCATGCTAAAACAATTAAAATAAAATAATTAAAATTAAAGACTAAAAACAAATACACTTCATCTCCTCCACACTATACACATACCTACCCTCCAAAACCAAAACCAAGAACCACCCATCACAACTCACCCCATCGTCCGCCTAGCGTCATCCCGTCACCGTCGCCACCCACCCCCTTATCTTCTTTCCAATGAAGAAATCAAGCCTTAGATCCGCTTCTTGATGGGATTTGATTTCTGTAATCAATATAGAACAACTTAATCTTTTACTATATAATTCCAATTCAAGATTGTTCTTTTTAACAAACCAATTGATCACCAAATATTAATATCCAAAAAAGAAAAAAAAAAAGAAAAGAAAGGCCAATGCAAATTTTGTAAAGTTGGAGAATTTCACCTTCCCAGGTAAAATCAAATGAGGTGACACTCAAGCAAACTCTTAATTCAGCAACTGAAAAAGTGGAAGTTGAACATGGCATTCTTTTTTTTTGGGCAGCATTCCTAGGGTAAAGGGCACCATGACATCCAAATTTACTTCTCTGAGTCATGTTTCGTGAATCTAAATCAATTATGTCGATTCTGTGTACCTTATCATTATTGAAGATTGATAACTTCATGTACTAAGCCTTCATTTGGGAAGAATTTATAAATAGATAGAAATGAGTGGTGGATAAGTGGATTGTACTTATGGGTCTATTGGGATGTGTGATTGAAAATGAAGTTTGATTATTTATAAGATTTTGTCAAACGGAAGCTAAATGATCATTTTTTTCCTCTCTGCTTTGATTGATTTTTCTTTTACTAGGATATGATTTACATATAATGTTAATGAGATCATTACTCTAATAGACCATTTTAGGCTCATGATCTGACTTGTCTGATTTGGTTCATTCAAGCTTAGCACTATTAAATCTTTGTTGAGCTTGAGCCACCTAACGGACATAACTCATAAGATGTTTAATTATTTTAAAGGCATATTGATTAATTATAACTGTACGAAATGTATAATATTTGAGAGCTCTTATTTGCTTCAATTCAAGCTTCAATTATATGGTGAACAGCTTGGACTCAATTCTGTATCTCACATCTCACCTGTAGATTCACTTTCCTTCTTTCACAATCATCTTCTCTAGTTGTGGTAACTTTTCTAAAATCTGTGTAAGATACTTTACTTAGATACTAATGAAAAAGAAAACATTTGCTTTTGTCTTTGAATGATAAAATTGTTACTGGCAATGAGGATTTTGAGCTAGTAATATTCAAAATTAAAAGTCAACAACATTATGGGATTTGTCCTCCTTCAAAGTGTAATGTTTATTATGATCTTGCCAAAAAAATTTTAACTCTGCCAAAGATGCCATTGCCCCAGATAGAATGAATATATTATCTTTCCACAATATTTTATTAACACCCCTGTTTCTTATGTTTTTTATGAGCCCTACTTAATCGGAAAAATTTGCAGCAAGTGGTTTCTTGAAAAGATTGGTCATGAAGGTATTGCCACTTTCCATGGTTTCTTTTTATGAACAATTATTGCACATTCATCCTTTTAACCCTCCCCATATCTTTATTTAGAAAGTTGCTTATTTTTATTCTCTACTAGGTTTGAACAATTTATTGATGGCATATGAGGATAAATCGGCGTATGCTCTCTGTGTATTCTCTCTTTCTCTCGGGCCAAATGCTGATCCAATTACCTTTTTGGGAAAAACAGCGGTATGATTCTGTGCTTTCAGAACAAAGCATATTATTGTTTTGTACTTTGTATTCCAATAAATAGATGTCACAACCCAATTTTCTTCCATACTAATTGGTTAATTGTTACTGAACTGGGCTTAACAATTTGGGTGATACGTAAGAAAGAAACACCGGAAGTGAAAGAAAATTAGAAATTTGAAAGGTAAACATAAAAAGACCAGGAAAATTGTGAAGGAAATGTAGCGATAATATTCTATCCATTACAGCATACATTGCAGGTTCCTCTTACATGCATTTGTATAGAGGATTTGATCTAGTTCCTGCCCAGTCATATTTTCAACTTAAAATGTAAATATAATTTGAAATTACAAATAAATGAAATAAAACTGGTAATCTGGAGTGCGAGAGGTGTCTTTGTTGCTATCAAGTGCTTCGACAGCTAGTGTCAATTGAAAATGTGTAAAGACTATGCTGCCCTCATTATTGAGGAAAATTTATTGTGCCTCTCTTCAACTTTATTCCTCAACTGTTGGTGGGGTATATCAACTGATGTTTTAGATACAAAAGCAAAAAATTTTGTTTCTGAAAACAAACTACTCCTAGAGTGGCAAGGGATCAAGTTTTGCATTCTTGGGATGAAATAACTAAGGACAAAGTCTCATGAGTTGTCTCGGCTCCCAAACTGTGTGTGAGTTTCCTTATAAGGCTCTTAACTTGAACTAAAAATTGAGAACTGTCTATTTACGTTGATACGAATAACTTCAAAGTTTTTGTTGAGAACCTGGTTGTTAGGACTCTTTAATGCATCTGAGGTGTGCAGAACTTGAACCTCTACAACTCCTGAAGCTCGGTGCCTTCTTAAAAAAGAATGAAACAAAAAGGAAAACAGAAGGAAAAAAATTGTTTTAGCTGTTAATGGATCAAATCCCAATTTTTACGTATAAAAAATTGTTTTAGCTGTTAATGGATCAAATCCCAATTTTTACGTATAAAGACTTGTTAAGTATATAATGTAAACATCGGATTGAAATGCACTGATGATGAAGAATGAAATTTATGGTTTTCCTGCATTGAGTACTAGATTACAGTTTTCCCGGTGTTACTTGTATAAGTGAGAACTGAGAAGCATCCTTATTTTTCTCTTTATTTTCGAAAGGAAGCAACTAATGAAATGATAAAATTCTTTATTCACAGCGTAATGTTCTCCACTTTTTCTTGCTTGGCCTCCAGCACAAAATAAAAATATTATAAGTTTTGATGGTTTCTTTATCTGATGAAATATGGAAGCTGTAATTGATGAGCAAAAGGCAGGCATTTAATATTTGTCAGTATTCTGATTCTAACTGAAGAAAAGTGCTACTGCAGTTTGATCTTTTTTTTTTTTTTTTTAAAGACCATGGGTGTCTAGGCCAGCTTATGCGCACATCGATTAATCCCACAGGCCCTAAAGCTTGATCTTTTCTTGCCAAAAGAAAAAAAAAAAAAAAAAAAAGAGAAAGAACAAAGAAAACAAAAGTCTGATATTTATTTATTCCATTTTAATTATGTTATTTCATTTACAGTATAATGTATGTTGTGCTTGTGGTTATTAGAAAAAAAGAACGCCATGTTAATATATATTCCACAGTGTGTATATATATATATATTTATTTATTTATTTTATTTTATTTTTTCAATTAGCAGATCCTGCTTGTATACGATCCCTGTTATGATTTACAGATTTTAGGTATTAAAAAAGGCAGACAAAGAAATGAATATTTATAAATTTGCAATTTGTCTTGATTTACAACATCTATATTAGACATGGATTTCCTATTATATAAATGATCTTGATTTGTTTGATTTGTGATTTCTTGTATTTTTGCTGGATAAAACACTAAGCAATTTCCCCTTCAGTGGGAATTTTCGTTTTAAATTACTTATTGTTCAAAACTGTTTGTAACATGATAATACAATTATTAAGATCTTTGACTCAATAAATTCTAAATATTTATGTGAAATCATCTCTTAGGTTATCCACATTCATCATCAGTTTTTAAATTGTGAATTACACTTCTGAAAATTTACATTGTCATGGTTATAACATAACTATTTTATATATCGATTGATTCTTGCGTGAAGCTGTTGATTGTGTAAGTATCTATGATCTATCCCAGGAAAATAGATTTACTGATAGGATCTGCTAATAGAAAGCTTTGTGCAGCCTTTATGGTGAGATGTGAAAAATTGTAGAAATCAAGACTTCTGGCTATGGGTAGATTTCAATTGTGATGCTGAGTTTTTACACCTTCTGAATGCAGACCCTATCATGCATCATAGAGCATTTCTTGACATAATGAAATGATTCTTTGGTTTTGACATAATAGGTGATTTAGGCGGTGGATGATTTCCTAACATAATTCCAAATAGAAATAACAATATATGGGCTTGTATCTAGCTCAAGCTTAATTTTCAGAAGGTTCAATCTGATCGAACTTGTGCTTAATTTTGGAGTTTGCATTGTCTTGCCTTTGAGCTCGAACCAGATTGAAAGTTTGGACATCAATAGCCCGAATTTTACCAACTTAATCTCAGGTTGTTTACAGCTTTAGTTTTTGCTTTTCGTACCATTACATTTGTGATTACTAATGCCAATTAACTGAAGGATTTTATAAGATGATGCTTTTTCTATACATGGAGGGAAAATTGTCATATTTGCGACTATACTTTCAAGTGGAGTATTCATGCTCCCATACACATTACAAAAAGATACTGAAGAGGTTAATACCCATCCTGAAGTATGAGATAGAGATAAATTTTTCTAACTGATAAAACACTAATGGCTCAAAACTTTTGCATTCTGATATAAATGCTACTGTCACATTTCTGTTCATCTTCTTGGAGCACAATACTTTCCCGTGTGGATTAGGTACACCTCAAGCTAGAGAATAATTGTCCTATTTAGATACTGGTCCAATTGATTGAGAAAGGAAGTTCCTATGAAAGCATTTCAAAGATTATAGATTACTTTAAATTATTACTGTAAGTAGATGTTTTGGATGATCTCCCACGTTCATGACTATGCTTGCACTTTTTACCTGTACCTTTTAATTAAATATAGTAGTAACTTGTTGGGCTATGTTTTATCTCTATGCAATTTGTCGTCAGTAATTTTAATATCTTACTGTCATTGATTCGTTAATAATGTATTATAGTTTTTAACAAACTGCTAAATCAGATATTAACGAACATTTTGGAGGAAGTCTGAGTGCACATGTATTTTGTGCATCGAGCTGGATTGTGGATAGACAACGATAACTAACAGCAGAATTGATGCAATTTGTCGCTGGCATTGCAGGGAAAAATAGTTCCTCTGAGGGGACCAAAGGATTTTGGCTGGGATCCAATCTTTCAACCTGATGGCTATGACCAAACGTAAGTACATCTTCCGACTCTGTGGCTCATTTCCTGTGAGTTCTGACACAATGGTTTTGTTTATTGGTGACATGACAAGAACAAGCTAACTTAACTATTCATGTTTCAGTTATGCTGAAATGCCGAAGGAAGAGAAGAACAAAATTTCTCACCGTTCGCAGGCTCTTGCTTTGGTGAAATCCCACTTTGCTGAGGCTAATTATACTTTTGAGACAGATCCAAGTATCCAACAGTGAGATATGTGCTTTCTTGGAATCACATATTTCTGTTTTATAAAAACTACATGTCACTCAAGAAAATAGTCAGTTATTAGTTATTACTTTGCCGGTAACTTCAAAAATATTCAGGAATATGATTGTTATATCATATTGGTGAAATTAAATGAATAACTTGAGTTCATTTCTGATATCAAATTCTTCTTTAGTAATTTCTCATATAAATCTTACGCTCAGTACATAGGAAGATTATGTAGTTTTTGTTTTGATGTCTATAGATTTATAATTATACCCCCACCCAAACAAAAAATAACCATCTATCCTGTCTGATATCTAGGATGATTACCATTGGTTCTGTCTGTTCATCGTTGCAACCTAATTCCTGTATGAAAAACCCAACCGACTAATCTAGAATTGATAGAAAGGCTGAATATTTATGTGAGACAAGATGATATCACGTGAAAGTGAAGGAATACAGAGCTAAATATTGAACTTTCGGTTTGTAGACTTGTGCTGATTAAGACAGCTGCATTAGGGTGTTGATAAACATGTACATATAACGTGGCTAAGCATGCGTGGCTGGCTGGCGTAATGCATTAAAAATTGGCCCCCAATGTCATGGGAGGCCAAAAGCAAAAGCCTCACGTTTTGTGGACCCAACCTCACATGCATGACTACTGTGTTTGAATCATCTTCAATTCCCAAAGTGGGCATTTCATGAGCTGCACAATCACATTGGTTGATATGGTATGCTCGATACCTTGGAGTGTTCGTGTAAAATTATTAGTAACTTTTAGGAGGAAGATTATTGGGTCTCAAGAAATGTTTGGTCAATTAATGAGAGTAGTTGAAATTAGCGTTTGACTTTGACTGTATAAATAAAGTATTTTTTTAATAATTTTTAATGCTTGGTGATTAGAGATGATAAGGTGGATTGTACAGCATTGAATACTATTATGAATGAAAAGAAAAGGTTAAAATATCGTACCAAAGATATCTTCATGAGATTCTCCATCCTTTGTCATTGAGCATACACGTGAAAGGTTTGGAAATAAGAATGTTTTGTTCCAATAATAGCAAAAATATGAGTTGGTGGGAATAATTTTCTCCTCCAATCAAGGGGCGTGGAACATTATCTCTTGAGGTACACATGGTACATATACAGGTACTTCTATGATGAATCTTTTTAGGGTGGCGTGACAAATAAACTATACAAAAACTTAAAAAGGAAATTCCATATTTTTCATTTTATAAGTTCAAAAATAGAATTAGAAAGAAACAAAAAAAATAAAAATAAAAATGAATTCATTAAATAAGAATTTTTATACACAGAGCAATCCGTTAAAGGAGTGAATCCTCTATTCAACTTAAACCCTGTCCATAGTTGCTTTCCTTATGTTACTTCGAAAGTAATGTTTTCACATATATGTGTATATATAGACATATAGAAAATCCTAAGCCAACCATGTCATTACCAATTTATTTCATTGACTCATTTCACTTCTGTTTCTCATCATTTCCTTCCTATTAAGTCTCTCACTTTTAAGAAGTTGAATATTCTCTGCTGGTAATTTGTCATTTCTATAAGATATAAATAATTAACACACTCATGATTAAGGTTAATGCTGCTTTAACATGCCGTAATTATGAAAATTAACAGCAGAAAGAGTAAAAACTCATACGTAAGAGATATGTATACGTATTTATCTACAATTAGTACTGACAATAATTCATTTTACCAAAAGAGCAAGATAAAAACTTTGCTAGTATGCATCATCTATTCCAAATATCTTTTAACTTTTGATAATTTAGGTTTGGACATTCGCACGATGGACTGTATGACTTAAGAAAGGCTAAAATACAGAAAAAGAGAAAAAAATTACAAAAACATCTTAAAGTTCCATAAAAGACTTGGCCAACACCAAGTAGACTGATGGCCCTTACAACAGATAACAGGAATATGGTGGTTTTAGGAGAGGCTTAGAAATCTTGGCTTGGACAGAATATGTCGAAAAACATTAGGGATTTGAACAACGCTTCAGCGTCTGCTCTCAGGATACCATTGTTTATCTTTCGACTGGAGCAGGCCGAGGTTGCACAACAATGGTGATAATGAGATGAATGGTAGTGAATAAAAATGTGCCCTTCCAATCGTGGAAGTAAAACGGATAGATGGCTGAGAAACAATGGATGTAATATTGATATAGGGTAATGTTTCATAGTAAAAGTGGAATCTTTCTTTTCGTAATTGGACAGGATTGTTAGCACTGGCGACCACTGCGGCAAGTAAGGGCACCGGCGCCGGAAGTAATGGAGCTAATCAGTGATGAAGACTTGGCACCTAAGCTTGAAGCTCTGGCATAGCTGGCAGAAGCTCCAGCACCGGACGGGGTGAAATACGCCCCGTTAAGCATCAGGTCACCTTCAGATCTCCAATTCCAACCCTTCCATTTACTTTCAGCAGTTTCAATTCTCTTTGTCACCTTATCAAACCAGTTCATCATAAATTTTAATCAAATTGTTCTAGTACTGATGATATAGTAGTGATTATCATGAATCTTGATACTACAGTACCTCTTTTGCAAATGAGTTGGCTGGGGCAAGATATCTGTTGCCTTGGCTGTTGATGGTCGGCTCTGCACTTCCACCAATGGCATACATCTCCCAGTGAGTGTAGTCGTTGTTCACAACGTGGAAGTATCCGTGTCTGCACCTGCATTTTCCATAAGTTCTTGTATTAGATTATGGGGCCATTTAACGCAATAGATGCCTAAAACAATGAGATTTAACATTGAACTTACTAATTACCTTGGCATTCTTTGAATGAGACCCTCTCCAAAATGGTTGTAGGCAATGGTTGCTTGCATTTGCTTGTCTCTCACATAAGAATCACTGTGACCCAAGAGTATAACCTGTTTCCATTTAACACACAACACCATCAGCATTATCCAAAAGGGTAAATTCTTACAGAAAAGGTGGGGGGGGGGGGGGGTCCCCATGGTTTACAGTCATGGATGTGCAGACCATGAATAATCACATTAGTGATAAACTGAATCGTAATACACCCTCCATTAGCAATGTGGACATTGACTCCACGCCCATCAATGGTCTTAAAGCTGTTCATGATAAGTTCTTGCTTCAGTGTTATAACCATGTCGCGCTTGAACACAATCCAGAGAGGCTCATCCTGAATAACTGCATGGCGTAGGGTGCCAGGCCTCGGGTTAACAGCGTCATGATCACCTGGATCAGTGACTAAATAGAATTCGCCGTCTCGACCCCCAATAGCATTACGTCCAAAACCGATACCACAATCAGCTAGGCGCTTGCGATTCTGCAGCCAATTGGGATCACAACGCCAACAATCATCGATAGGGTTGCCTGTTGCACACGAGAAAAATCCCAGCCTTCGCCTCTCAGTGCTGTTTTTAGTGATCCTGCAAATGCACAACTTTTCGTCAACACAGTTTCATGCATTTAATATGCATGCACACACGTACATATTCACATACACGACTACAATCAAATATCATACACGTGCACAAGTAAACTAAGCAATCAAATGGTAACTTTTAATTATTCTACTACATGGATGAACGCCTAGAGGAAAAGTTTTTTAAGCTCTGTATCACATTGTTCTTAATAAAGAATACAATCAAGACCAACATTGACCTCTTAAAAAGTCTATAGTAGTAAAAGTGAAACTGCACATGGCAAAAGAATCATGATTATTAAACCTTTCATAGAAAAAACATCCACTCAATAAAAGTAGTAAAATATGTGATCATTAACAAATGTTGATTAGCGTATGACACGGATCTTAGTATCTTACATCAGCAACAGGTGGATGAACTGAATGGTACTTGGCCACGAAATGCAGATAAAAGAGAAAATTAAAGGAACAACAAACAAAATGAGACAGATCGAACCCACATTTCAACTGATGCTGCAACATCTTCTGGGTTATCCACTGCATGTTCATTCAAAGCCTCCTCTTCAATTTCTCCTAACCTGAACCATCAATATTTATAAAACTTAAAAATACAAAAATTTTAAGTACAACACCGTACAACAAGAAACAAACTAAGGTTCGTTTTCAACGAATTCAGAGTTGTCTATGTCAATTTTTTTCTTCTTTTATTTAAAATCAAAATTAGCATTTATTATTCACATGGGATGTCAGCAACCGACACTCACTGCAAAAAACACACACACAGAGAGTACTGTACGCTGCTGAATGTAGTGGTGACGGCGATATATATATGTATACATACAAATCTTCACCGTTAAAATCGTCAAAAAGTGCATTTTTTAGAGAGAGGGAGAGAGGGTTAACTAATAACTGACTTACTTTTGGGTGAGGCGACACGGGTATGTGGGTAGTAAAAGCACTAAAATACCCATCTGGATTTTAGTAAAATAAAATTGTTGGTGTGGAATAAACTGAATTGTGAGAGGGCAATTTTGGGGGAAGACGGGGTTCGGTAGCCAATAATGATTTTCTATACAGAGGAATCCGAGGAGACTGTTGAAGGATTGGTGTATTAACGGATAAACGGTTGAGGTCTGGTAAATTTTGGATATGAAAGGCTGGGATTCATTGTTTTGAGAGCGAATTAGCGATCCAGCAGTTTATATTTAATCTGTTCTAACGAGAGAAATATGGAGGGCTAGGATTTGAGGAGAATTTATTAGTCCAATGAGGATTAAGAAAATGATTAGGTGCCGTTTTACTGAGTCGACTCAGTATTAAAGAACTTAACAAGATTACTGAGTTAAAATGCTGAGTTTTCCTAACCTTGCCGCCATTGTTGAGTTTTCGGAGCTGTGCAACTGCTCTTTTTCGACAGCACTGTAAAATCAGGTTAAAAAACAGAGCTCCGTTAGAATTTGGAAGAATTTTCTAAAATTCTGCTCAATTAGGTGAATTTCTAGCAAGTGAAGAAAAATATTACCAAAAAATAACAAATCACATTCAACCAAAGATCACAATGCATACAGTGTATACAATCACACTCGGTAAGTAACAGCAAATTCTGAACGGTGAGAATGCAGTGCACACACAAAATGCAGAAAATTCCGAAGCGTTTAAAGGCAAAAACAAACCTAATTTTCGAGGCTTCATCTTTCTGAACTCTGGCTGCAACGCCAATGAAGAGCATTAGCAGCAGCAAAGAACACAGAGAAACACATTTCTT